TGATCACACACACACACACACACACACCACACACACAACACACTCACACTACACTCACTCACTCACTCCTCACTCACTCACTCACTCACACACACACACACACACACACACACACCACACACACTCACTCACTCAACTCACTCACTCACACACTCACACACACACACACACACACACACACACACACACTCACTCACTCACTCACTCACCTCACTCACCACTCACTCACACACACACACACACACACACACACACACACACACATCTCACTCACTCACTCACTCACCACATCACTCACTCACTCACACTCACTCACTCACTCACACAAACTCATATGTGTGTGTTCATACATATAAAGTCGAAAAATAATGGATGCCATTAATTCATACACAAGGCCAAGCTAACAGAAAACCGTTCATGTATTTTATTCAAATGTATGCGAAAGACCTGACATAAATCGCGCATACGATAAACCGGCCATTTGGAAAGTTATAATCGAGTGAATAAATATAACAGGTGGTGAAAAATATAAACCCGTTTCGTGATTTTCCCATTACGAAGCAGGTAAAGGCGCGGGGTGGGGGTGGGGGTGGGGGTGGTGTTTAAGATAACGAAAATTACCCTGCCAAGAAACGGGCGGAGATAAGAGTGCTTAAATATTACGACTACGAAAATTCGTCAGCCCGTTTTCCACATCCTGGGCTTTCTCGCTTTCGTAATTGAAGGAGAGGAACTGGCGGGAATGAAGAAAGTGGGGAGGTGTGTGTTGCGGGGTATGGGTGTGAAGATGTGTGTGTTTGCGGGGTATGGGTGTGAGATGTGTGTGTTGCGGGGTATGGTGTGAATATGGTGTGTGTTGCGGGGTATGGTGTGAAGAATGTGTGTGTTGCGGGGTATGGGTGTAAGATGTGTGTTGTTGCGGGGTATGAGTGTGAAGATTGTGTTGCGGGGTATGAGTGTGAAGATGTGTGTTTGCGGGGTATGAGTGTGAATATCGTTGTGTGTGCGGGGTATGGGTGTGAAGATTGTGTGTGTTTTGCGGGGTATGAGTGTGAATGTTTGTGTGTTGCGGGGTATGGGTGTGAAGATGTTGTGTGTTGCGGGTATGATGTGAAGATGGTGTGTGTTGCGGGTTTTGCGGGTGTGAAGATGTGGTGGTGTTTCGGGGTATGCACGTGTTGTGAAGATGTGTGTGATGTCGGTATGTTCGGAGCGGTCGTGTGTTGGTGTAGATGTGTGTGTTTCGGGGGGTATGAGTGTGAAGAATGTGTCGGTTGCGGGGTATGGTGTGAAGATGGTGTGTGTTTGCGGGGTATGGGTGTGTGTTGGCGGGGTTGAGTGGGTGTGTGATGTGTGTGTATTCGGGGTATGGGTGTGCGGGTAATGAGTGTGAAGATGTGTGTGTTGCGGGGTATGGGATGTGAAGATGTGTGTGTTGGGGGTATGGTGTATCGAGTGTGAAGATGTGTGTGTTTGCGGGGTTGGGTGTGAAGATGTGGTGTTGCGGGTATGGTGTGAAGATGTGTGTTTGCGGGGTATGAGTGTGAAGATGTGTGTGTTGCGGGTAATGTGTGAAAAGATGTGTGTGTTGCGGAGGGTGTGAAGATGTGTGTGTTTGCGGGTAATGGTTGGTGAAGATGTGTGTGTTGGCGGGTATGCGTGTGAAGATGTGTTGCGGTTGCGGGTATGATAAGATGGTGTGTGTTGCGGGTATGAGTGTGAAGATGTGTGGCGGGGTATGGGTGTGAAGATGTTGTGTGTTGCGGGTATGAGTGTGAAGAGTGTGTGTTTTCGGGTATTGTGGTGATGTGTGTGTTTCGGGTATGAGTGTTGAAGATGTGGTGCTTGCGGGTATGGGTGTGAAGAATGTGTGTGTTGCGGGGTATGGTGTGTATGAAAGATGTGTGTTGCGGGGTATGGGGTGTGAAGATGTGTGTGTTGGGGTTGTGTGTGTATATGTGTGCGGGGTATGAGTGTAAGATGTGTGTTGCGGGTATGGTGTGAAGATGTGTGTGTTGCGGGGTACAGTGTGAAGATGTGTGTGTTGGCGGGGTATGAGTGTGTGAAGATGTGTGTGTTGCGGGGTAATGAAGATGTGGTGAAGATGTGTGTGTTTGCGGGTATGGGTGTGAAGATTGTGTTGCGGGGTATGGTGTGTAGATGTTGTGTGTTGCGGGGTATGAGTGGTGAAATGTGTGCTTGCGGTATGCGTGGTGAGATGTGTGTGTTGCGGGGTATGCGGTGTGTGTGTGTGTTGCGGGGTATGCGTGTGAAGATGTGTGTGTTGCGGGGTATGAGTGTGAAGATGTGTGTGTTGCGGGGTATGGGTGTGAAGATGTGTGTGTTGGGGGTATGGGTGTGAAGGTGTGTTTGCGGGGTGAAGTGTGAAGATGTGTGTGTTTGCGGGGTATGGGTGTGAAGATGTGTGTGTTTGCGGGGTATGGGTGTGAAGATGTGTGTGTTGCGGGGTATGGTGTGAAGATGTGTGTGTTGCGGGGTA